GCAACTTCCGTGATGTCCACGCACTCTCGTAAGAGGAGCCTCCTTGGGGAGGTGGGTAGTGAAAGGAAAATTCATTTTCCTTATTTCGCGTCCTTGCTTACCGGGTACATGACTGTTTCCGCCAACAGCACCCAGCAGTGAAACGTTACCCACTCGCGACACTCTCCGCAATTAATGATCCCGCCACTGTTCACGACGCGACCCAACCCCACGGTTCGGTTGGTAACCCGTGCTCCATACCTCCGCCTCGACATTTCCCAACCTCGGCGCTAGGCCCGTAGCGCACTCCATTTTCTCGCGTTACCGTTACCACGCTAGCGTCGCGATATATAGTTCACTTATGCCTTCGCTCATTGTACTGTTTTGCTTCAATAGTGCAATTCTCGCTCGCTCGCTCCATTGCACTCGCAACACTTGTTGAGGTACGACATCTAGATTGGATGTGTTTTAAATGCTTATGTATAGCATTTGGCACATATAAGACAAGGGACTTCCATGATCAGTGTGCACACAAAATGTATGGTACCCGAAGAACATCACCACCCTTCAAAATATGTTACGTACTGATCGAATAATGACCCTTGGATAGGATAAGTCTGCTAGAGTTTGGTAGCAGAAGACTTGTTGTAGTGGGAGGACCCTTGTGTCAGAACATTATAGCTTATGCATTTGTGTAGGTTGTAGTGGGGTAGCCCATAAAGGGTACAACCCAATTAGGGTTAGCACTTGTACCCAACTCTTTCATTGTTTATTCATTCTCGTTTCTCGTCATGGTATCGAGCAGGTTCCCTAGTGGGAATGCTACCTAGGGCCCACCACTATTTTTTTTTCCCTGCCCGAAACGCGCTTCACTCTTGCCCGAGTCGCACTTCGTGTGCCCTACCTACCCTCGAGCCGCCTTAAGTGGCCCCTCCCACGGCCCCTTTGACCGCCCTTACGGCCCCTCGCGCCGTCCTCTAAGGCCCCTCACGCCGCCCTTACGGCCCCTTATGGCCCCCTAAGGCCCCTCTCACCGCCCTCTAAGGCCCCTCGCGCCGCCCTTACGCCCCCTTACAGCCCCAAAAGGCCCCTCTCGCCGCCCTCTAAGGCCCCTTGCGCCGCCCTTACGGCCCCTTACGGCCCTGCCTAGGCCTCTTACGTCTCCTCCGCGAACACGTCTAGGCCCCTTGCGGCCCCATCTAGGACCCTCCGCGGCCCCGTCTAGGCCCCTTAAGGCCCCGTTTAGGCCCTTCTGCTGCCCCGTCCAGGCCCCTTGCGGCCCCGTCTAGGCCCCTCCGCAGCCACGTCTAGGCCCCTCCACAGCCCTATCTAGGCCCCCTTTCGGCACCGTCTAGGCCCCTTTCGGCCCCGGCTAGGCCCCTTTCGTGATGAGAAACGAGAATAAATGAACTATGAAAGAGTTGGGTACAAGTACTAACCCTAATTGGGTTGTACCCCTTATGGGCTACCCCACTACAGCCTACACAAATGTATAAGCTAAAATATTCTGACACACACCCATAGGCAAATTGGGGGAGAACAAGTGGTCACAAGACCAGTCAAGCAAAGCAAAGCAAAGCAAGCTCAGGGTGGATCACAAAGTCACCACACAATTCGAGCACAAGAGTAAGGCCACAAGGCCAGTTCACATGCGAGGTCATATTTATAAAGGTAAACAAGCAAGTGCAGGTACAGAAAGAGTACAGTACAAACAAGATCAAGAAGTGAGCAAGTGAGGCCAGGTAGGCACAAGACCTACCAAAGCAAAGAAGCGCTGATGATCACAAGGCGGAAGGGCCTTGGTGAAGATATCAGAAGTGTTGGCCTCAGAGGCCACGTAGGTGGGGCGGAGCTGACCACGCTGCTGCAGCTCACGAGCCAGGAAGTAGCGGAGAGCAATGTGCTTCGTTTTGTGCTCCAGTCTGTGCTCCCGACACAAGGCCAGCATGGCCTTGTTGTTTACGTACAGAACTGGAGGAGAACGAGGCTGCTCTCCTAGGTCAGTCAGTAGGTAGGTGAGCCAGCGTAGCTCCTGTGCAGCCATGGCTCCTGCGTAGATCTCAGCCTCACAGCTGGAGCTGAGAACAGAAGACGAGCGGGTAGACCGCCACGAAACAAAGCCGGAGCCAAGGCTGAAGGTGTAACCCTGTGACGACCGCTGCAGAGCCTAGTCATCAGCCCAAGAAGCGTCAGCGTGACCTGTGAGGACCACTCGATGTCGCCCTCCAAGCACTAGCCCCATGCCAGGCGTACTGCACACGTAGCGCAACACCCTCTTCGCTGCAGCCATGTGCTCTAGTCTGTGTCTCCCAGGAGCAACATAGCGTGCCAAGATGCTAAGAGGGTATGCAAGGTCAGATCGTGTGCAGGTCATCAGGTACATGAGGCAGCCAACAAGCTCTCGGTACGGGCCACTCGACTCTATGGACACATCCGAAGGCAGAGCTGAGAGCGAGTGGCAAGTAGACAGAGGAGTGGCCTAAGGCGAGGAGTACGTGAAGCCGAAGTGCTGAAGGACCTGCTGCACCATGTGTGACTGAGTCAGGGTAATGGTGCGCTGTGCTCTGTCCCGAGTGATCTGCAAGCGAAGGTAGCTGCGCAGTTCACCCAGGTCTGCGCACGTGTGTCTCTTCTGCAGCTCGGACTTCACGTGGGCGAGTCCAGCAGTGTCAGCAGTGGCAAGGACCAAGTCGTCGACGTACACGAGGATGTAGAATGGCGGCAGAGAGTGTCGGTGCGCAGAAACAGCGACGGGCCGGCTGTAGAAGGAGCAAACCCAAGAGCCGCAAGTGTAGTCTTCGGTGTGTCGTGCCACTCACGTGGTGCCTGGCGGAGACCGTAGACTGGCCGTCGGAGGCTCCACTAGGTACCAGGAGGAAACGACCCGGTGAAGCCACGAGGGCGGCGCAGCCAGATCTCCTCGTGCAAGCTGCCTCGCAGGAAAGCTGTGCTGAAGTCAAGAGAGTGAAGCTCGTAGTCGCGTTGAGCAGCTATGTCCAGCAGCACCCAAAGAGTGGTCATCTTCGGGGTGGGAGAGAAGGTCTGAAAGTAGTCAACTCCCTACCGCTGACTGAAGCCTCGAGCCACGTAACGTGCCTTGAAGACAGGCGGAGAACCCGGCGGCCGCTTCACCCTGAAAATCCACATGCCACTAACGATGTTCGCCCCAGGTGGGGGAACCTCGTCGACGTAGGTGCCTGTGGACTTCCAAGAAGCCATCTCTGCGTCCATGGCGGACTGCCACTGAGAGGAGTAGGGACCCTCGATCGCCTCAGCGTACGATCGAGGAGTCGGGATGTCTGGTGCATCCGGGTCTCCCTCAAGGGCAATCAGCGTGGACACAAGATGGGGCAAAGCAGCAGCAAAGCACTGGAACTCCTCATGCCTGTCCTTAAGGACGTCCGTGCTAAGAGCACACTCACCCCCGACGAACGGAGGACAGACAGACTCAGACTCAGCAACAAGAGTGGCAGCGTAGTGTAGACGAGAGCGAGCAGCGAAGTCGACAAGCTCTGAAACTATAGCAGATGCAGCAATAGACTCAAAGGAAGGGTCACTGACAACAATGGCAAGAAGGCGCGTGACCGAGGGACTAGCAGCACGAATGGAGTCAGACTCCGGGTGAGGAAGCAAATGGTTCGTCAATCAGTCAATGACTCTCTCTCAGCTACAGACCAGCTGCGCGGATCCAGTCGATCAACACCTCAGTGACGTCACCCTTGATGCGTAAGGGGAAGACTGTGGTGTAACGCGAGTAGTCGTCAATCACCAGCAGAAAGTACCGCTCCCGCCCGTGCCCACTAACGCAGGCTGGGCCCCACACGTCCATGTGGAGAGTCTGCAGCGGAGCCTCTGTCGGAGGAAACTCGGAGGAGTGAAGGGCGCCGCGCTGTCGCTCCTCGACGCACGGGACGCAGTTAGGGCCAGGCCTCGGAGGAAGGGGAGGGAGAGACCGAGGGAGACCAGAGACTAGGACACGGGAGGCCATGCCTCGGAGACGAGGCAAGGAGGGGTGACCAAGGCGGTGGTGCCAAAGGAGAGTCTGGTGGGACAGGAGACGACATGAGCAGGGGGCAGACTCAGGACCAGACCTGGACGCTGCAGCAAACACCTAACTCAACGCAGCTACCTGGGAAGACTTAGCAGCCGGAGGAGACTTAGTAGTAAGGGTGTACAGGCTCGACCCTGGCCGACGAGTGAATGTGGCCAAGTGTCGGCCTGTCCGAGCACACGTGTAGTGGGTCACTCGCTGACTCGCAGGAGTGAACTCGTCGACCCCCCTATCCTGTAGGTCCGCTCCACTCACAAAGTTCGTAGAGAACGAGGGGAGGTAGAGACCAGATAGGGTGCCAGAGGGGGCTGCCAGGGACGGTAGGACAGTGGAGAAGCTCGCAAGGACAGGACTCCTAGAGGGGTCTGCCAAGGAGACCGCAACTGGCCGAGTGAGCGGTGTAAGAGTGGTGCGGTCTCGAAAGAAGGAGCGGGACGCACTCGAGTCCAGGGTGAAGGTGTTGAAGGCCTGAGCCGACGTAGTACTTGAGAGAGCGGACTCACCAGCACCTGGGGCAGCAGACGCACAGGCACGTGGGGCAGCAGACGCACTAGCACCTAGAGCAACAGCCATACCAGTACCTAGAGCAGCGGCATCAATGCCCGGGTCAAGCGGTACACACAAGTAAGTGTCGCCAGCAACACTAGTATCAACAGGATACATGGCAGCAAGAATAGCATCAAAGTCAAGATCAAAGATAGCAACCCCGGCCTTAGAGAGATCTCCCCAGCGAGGGATCTCTCACGCCTCAGGGAAATGGCGACCTAAGCAGCGCAGGGTGATGTGCGGGCCTCCGCACTGCTCACGAGCTCGGTCACGAAGGGCGTAAGCGCAGGGACCAAAACCCCCACCTCGCTGACGCGCAGTGTACCACTTAACGAAGCTGCTGAGGGGACAAGGGCACGCCACTCCGCTGCTGCTGTCGCTGACCACCACCGGCGCCACTCCTCTGCGTAGAGTCGCGACCCGCTCAACCACCGCTGCCGCCGCCTCTGCCGCCTCCTCCACCTCCGCTCCCTCCGCCACCTCCACCGCCTCCGCCTCCACCACTCCTGCCGCCGCCGCCGCCACCCCTGGCACCACTCCCACCACCACCCCCACTCCCTCCACTGCCTCCAACACCACCTCCACCGCCCCCTAAAGCCCCTCCAGCGCCCTTGCCCCCTTTGCCCCTGCCGGTGCGGCGTCTCCCGCTCGGGGCAGACGCAGCGCCGACCGACTCAAAACCAACAATGTCGGCCGCAGCAGCAGAGGCAACAGAGGGCAAGAGTGGGGAGAGAGAACACCCCTCAAAGACGGGGGTGCGAGGGTCACCACGAGAGGTTCCTACACCGACTATGCTCTTCTCTATCGCTAGGAGTGCCTTCTCGAGGAGGTCAACAGTGAGAGTGGTGGGGTAGACTGAGAAAAAGTGGTCCCTGACTACGCGAAGAGAGTCAGGGAGCCGGGTGAGTATGTAGTAGAGGGTGATGTACATTGGGGGGGGGTTCTTGGCGAAGAATTGAGCAGGAAGTGCAGCGCGGTAGCGAGTTTCACTAGTGCGGAGGTGCGTAATGAGTTCAGCGACTGTGGGAAAGGCAGCAAGGTCAGAGAAGAGGTACGGTAGCATGAGGCGGCTCAGTGCAGCAGTGGTAGGGGAAGAGTAGCGTGCGACTACAGCGTCGTACAAGGTCTGAGCACTCTTGTACTGGCTAAAGTATGCACGCGTAGTGGTCGGTAAGTGGGGGTGCACAGCAAGGCGAGCAGCAGCATCGCGCATGGCCCACTGTGAGCGAACAGTGGCGTTAGCATCAGCAGCAGGAGCAGGGGAGGCACCAGAAGTGAGGTCAAACAGGGAGAGGCCGTCCGCCCTCTCGCACTGAAGAAAGAGCTGGAGGTCATCGACCCAGACCTCAAAGTCAACGGCATGGCCCTCAGCATCAAAAGTGAAGACACTAGGGGTAGCCATGACTTCAGTGGCCTAGGAGGAAGTGAGCTCACCAGTCCAAGGAAGGAGGGGCCGGGGAGCACCGGTAGGAACAGCAGCTGCTAGACAGTAGGGCAGCTCGGTGGCTCGGTGGCAGGGCGGCTCGGCTGCAGGGCGGCTCGGCGGCAGGGCGGCTCGGCTGCTGGGCGGCTCGGTGGCAGGGTGGCTCGGCTGTTGGGCGGCTCGGCTGCTCGGCGGCTCGGCTGTGGGGCGGCTCGGGTGCTCGGTAGGCGGGCGGCTCGGGTGCTGTGCTGCTCCGCCGCTAGGGTAGGGCGACGGGGCCGCATGTGGCGGCGGGGCCGCAGGTGGCGGCGGGGCCGCAGGTGGCGGCAGGGTCGCAGGTGGCGACGAGGCCGCAGGTGGTGACGGGGCCGCAAGTGGCGACGGGGCCACAGGTGGCAACGTGGCCTCAGGGGGCGGCGGGGCCGCAGGTGGCGGTGGGGCCGCAGGTGGCGACGGGGCCGCAGGTGGCGGCGGGGCCACAAGTGGCGGCGGGGCCGCAGGTGGCGACGGGGCCGCATGTGGCAACCGGGCTGCAGAGGGGCCTAAACGGGGCCGTAAAGGGGCCAGACGGGGCCATAGGAGGGGCCTATATGGGGCCGCAAGGGGCCGTAAGGAGCCTAGGCGAGGCCGTAAGAGGGCGTAAGGGGCCAGACGGGGCCGCAGAGGGGCCTAGGCAGAGCCGCAAGGGGCCTAGACGGGGCCGTGAACGGGGCCGTAAGGGGCCGTAAGGGGCCTGACGGGGCCGCGAAGGGGCCTAAGCGGGGCCGCGGAGGGGCCGTAAGGGGCCTAGGTGGGGCTGTAAGGGGCCAGACGGGGCCGCGGAGGGGCCTAGGCGAGGCTGCGAAGGGGCCGTAAGGGGCCTAGGCGGGGCCGTAAGGGGCCAGACGGGGCCGCAAAGAGGCCTAGGCGGGGCCGTAAGGGGCCGTAAGGGCGGCGCGAGGGGCCGTAGAAGGCGGCGCGAGGGTCCGTAAGGACGGCCACTAAGGGCGGCTCGAGGGTAGGTAAGGCACACGAAGCGCTACTCGGGTAGGAGTGAAGCGCGCTCCGGGCACGGAAAAAATAATCGTGGTGGGCCCTAGGCAGCATTCCCACCCGGGAACCTGCTCGATACCATGATGAGAAACGAGAATGAATGAACTATGAAAGAGTTGGGTACAAGTACTAACCCTAATTGGGTTGTACCCCTTATGCGCTACCCCACTACAGCCTACACAAATGTATAAGCTATAATGTTCTGACATTTCGGCCCCGCCTAGGCCCCGCTCGACCCTGTCTAGGCCCCTCTGCGACCTAGTCGCCGCCACCTGCGGCCACGTCGCCGCCACCTACGGCCATACCGCCGCCACCTGCGGCCTCGCTGCCACCTGCGGCCCCGCCGCCACCTTTGGCTCCGTCGCCGCCGCCACCTACTGTTATAGTCACAGTAGGCTCCAATGTGCCTAAAACGAAAGATAGAGTGCACAGTCGGATTTCTGCGCAGCGTCTTCAAACATTCATAGCGATCTGCTCACAACTCTAAATGCTTTCATTCAACTTGGATCTGGAGCGCCTTGATGTCGCCTAAAATAGGCAATTTCAATCGCACGCTTTCATTAAGAATTGACGACACAGCGTTGGTTTGAACGAACGGCACCATGGCAGCAACATAGTCTTAGAACACAAGATAGAAAGAGTTAGGAAGAGTTACGAGTTGGGAATGACTCCCAGCTCCTACAAACCCCAAGAGCCGAGGTACAGTGATGTGGAACTGTGCCACACTGTCCCCAACCACGAAGGGTCTCGTAACTACCCTTCACTAGGGCCTACACCAAGTGAAATGTTACACTACACGAAGTAATGTAGCTATCTTCAATATCTTGAGGTGCACCCTTTTGGCGAGCTTCGAAATCACTTGAGGCTTGACACCAAAGGCTGGGGCTCTTCATCACAAACTCATCCTTGAGTTCTTGATGGGTCTTCTGCACACACTTGCGACACGCCGAACGTTTGACACAGGACAAAATAGAAACCGCGCGCGAGACACAAACGACCGCGTAACGCGCGTCTAGCGATAACTCGCTATTGACTCGACACACACACTCGACCTCATGACTCAACATTCACACACAATTATCAGCATGAAATAGATATTATCCCATGCCCTCATACCATTCCATACACACACACATGCACGCACACGGACAACAAGCCGAGTGCAAACCGTAGGGTTGCACCAACACCTACGGCCCTGTTGCCGTCACCCACAGCCCCGTCGCCCTCCCCTAGCGGCCCTATCACCACTCCGCCGCCCAACGACCGAGCCGCCGAGCAGCACAGTACCCGAGCCGCCCACCTACCGAGCAGCCGAGCCGCCCACCAGCCGAGCTGCCCAGCAGCCGAGCTGCCGAGCAGCCGAGCCGCCGAGCAGCCGAGCCGCCGAGCAGCCGAGCCGCCCTGCCGCCGAGCCGCCCAGCAGCCGAGCCGCCCTACAGCTGAGCCGCCCAGCAGCCGAGCCGCCCTGCCGCCGAGCCGCCCTACTGTCTAGCAGCTGCTCTTCCTACCGGTGCTCCCCGGCTCCTCTTTCCTCGGACTGGTCAGCTCACTTCCTCCTAGGCTACTACAGTCATGGCTACCCCTAGTGTCCTCACATTTCATACTGAGGGCCGTGCTGTTGACTTTGAGTTCTCGGTCGATGACCTCCAGCTCTTTCTCCAGTGCAATAGGGCAGACGAACTCTCTCTGTTCGATCTCACCTTTGGTGCCTCTCCTGCCCCACCTGCTACTGCTGACAGCACTATTCGCTCACAGTGCGCCACACGCGATGCTGCTGCTAGCCTTGCTGTTCGTTCCCACTTATCGACCCACTGAGCATGCACACTTTAGCCAGTACAAGAGTGCTCAGACCTTGTACGACGCTGTAGTTGCACGGTACTCTTCCCCTACCACTGCTGCACTGAGCCGCCTCATGCTACCGTACCTCTTCCCTGACCTTGCTGCCTTTCCCACAGTCGCTAACCTCATTACGCACCTCCGCACTAGTAGCACTCGCTACCACGCTGCGCTTCCTCTTGAGTTCAGCGCCAAGAACCCCCTCCCCCCATGTACATCACCCTCTACTACATAGTCACTTGGCTCCTTGACTCTCTCCGCGTAGTCAGGGACCACTTCCTCTCAGTCTGCCCCACCACTCTCATTGTTGACCTCCTCGAGAAGACCCTCCTAGCAGCATAGAAGAGCATAGTCGCTGTAGGAGCCTCTGGTGGTGACCCTCGCACCCTCGTCTTTGAGGGGTGTTCTCCCTTCCCCCTCTTGCCCTCCGTTGCCTCTGCTGCTGCAGCCGACCTTGTTGGTTTCGAGTCCGTTAGCGCTGCGTCTGCCCTGAACGGGAGATGCCGCACCGGCAAGGGCAAGCGGGGCAAGGGAGCTGGAGGGGCTGGTGGAGGTAGTGGAGGTGGTGGTGGAGGCAGCGGAGGGGGTGGGGGTGGTGTTGGGAGATGAGGCGGGGGTGGCGGCGGCGGCGGTAGCAGTGGAGGCTGAGGAGGCACCGGAGGTGGCGGAGGGAGCGGAGGCGGCGGAGGTGGCGGAGGAGGCGGAGGTGGAGGAGGCGGCGGAGGCAGCGGCGACAGCAGTGGACCTGGTCGTGGCTCTGCACAGAGGAGTGGCTTCGGTGGTGGTTCGCACCTGCAGCAGCAGACAGCCGTGAGACCCTGTCCCCTCAGCAGCTTCGTGAGTGGTACGCTGCGCGTCAGGACGGTGGGCGTACAGGTCCCTGCACCTACGTTCTCCGCACGAGCGACTGCACTGGTGAGCACTGCAGGGGCCCGCACCCCACCCAGCGCTGCTTCGGCCGCCTGACGGACGTGTGGCGTCACCAGTTCCCTAGGGACTCTGAGATCCCTCGCTAGGGAGAGCTGTTTAGGGCGGGGGTTGCTATCTTTGATATTGATTTTGATGCTATTCTTGCTGCCATCTATGCTCCTTGCGGGTGACTGTTACCTCTGTGTACCGCCTAACCCGGGCATTGAGGCCGCTGCTCTAGGTGCTGGTGAGGCTGCTGCTCTAGGTGCTAGTGCGTCTCCTTCCCTAGGTGCCAGTGCGTCTGCTGCCCCAGGTGCTGGTGAGTCTGCTCTCTCTGGTACTACGTCGGCTCAGGCCTTCCACGCCTTCACCCTAGACTAGGGTGCGTCCCGCTCCTTCTTTCAAGACCGCACCACTCTTACGCCGCTAAGTCGGCCGGTTGTAGTCTCCCTGACAGACCCCTCTGGGGGTCCTGTCCTTGCTAGCTTCTCCACTGTTTCACCGTGTCCGGCAGCCCCTTCTAGCATCTGTCAGGTCTCTACCTCCCCTCGTTCTCTACGAACTTTGTGAGTGGAGCGGACCTACAGGATAGGGGGGTCGACGAGTTCACTCTTGCGAGTCAACAAGTGACCCACTACACATGTGCTCGGATAGGCCGACACTTGGCCACATTCACTCGTCGGCCAGGGTCGAGCCTGTACACCCTTACTACTAAGTCTCCTCCGGCCGCTAAGTCTTCCCAGGTAGCTGCGTCGAGTCAGGTGTTTGCTACAGCGTCCAGGTCTGGTCTTGAGTCTGCTCCCTGTTCGTGTTGTCTACTAACCCACCAGACTCTCCTTTTGCACCACCGCCTTGGTCACCCCTCCCTGCCTCATTTTCGAGGCATGGCCTCCCGTGTCCTAGTCTCTGATCTCCCTCGGTCTCTCCCTTTCCTACCTCCTGGGCCTGGCCCTACCTGCATCCCCTACGTCGAGGGGCGACAGCGCGCCGCCCCCCACTCCTCTGAGTTTCCTCCAACAGAGGCTCCACTAGAGACTCTCCACATGGACGTGTGGGGCCCCGCCCGCGTCAGTGGGCAGGGACGCGAGCGGTACTTACTGCTGGTGGTTGACGACTACTTGCATTACACCACAGTCTTCCCCTTGCGCAGCAAGGGTGACGTCACTGAGGTGTTGATCGACTGGGTCCGTACAGCTCGTCTCCAGCTCCAGGAGAGCCCGTCTGGGAGCCTTCTGTCGTGCACAGGGCATCCGCCAAACCTTCACGCTTCCAGCCTCTCCACAGCAAAATGGGATTGCTGAGCGCCGCATTGGCATGGTCATAGATGTCGCTCGTACGTCCATGATGCATGCGGCTGCCCCCCATTTTCTATGGCCGTTTGCAGTTCAGTACGCCGCGCATCAGCTCAACCTTCAGCCCCGGGTCTCCCTGCCAGATACCTTCCCCGCCTTGCGGTGGACTGGGAAGGTTGGTGATGCGTCTGCGTTTCGGGTCTAGGGATCTCGGGCGTTTGTCCGCGACTTGTGTGCGGACAAGCTGTCCCCCCGTGCTGTTCCCTACGTTTTCCTTGGCTTCCCCCTTGTCGCACCTGGGTGGCAGCTTTACCACCCCACCTCGCGACGGGTTCTGTCCTCTCAGGATGTCACCTTTGACGAGTTGGTGCCTTACTACCATCTCTTCCCCTACCGCACTGCGCCCCTCCCCCCGCCGCCGCTCTTCCTTGCGCAAGGTCCTCCCCCGATAGACCCCCTCCCCCCTCAGGGTCCTGCCCCGTCAAGCATATCCCAGGTAGACGCAGTC